CACCATTTACGATTAAGCGATATTTTTGCGAGTGTTCTGTCAGCCCCAATTGCTTCCACGAGCAATATTCTTCCAGGTCAATGATAAGAAATGTCAGCCAGCGACTTTTATTCAACAGCATTTTCCTAGAATTCCACCGTGATGAAATCCTGGCTCTCAGAGAAATTTCCATGTTCAGAGACCAATCTTGCTACCATGGAGATTTTTGGAGGAACAATATAGATCCAATTTTGCAAGAGGAAAGGAAGTCCTCTGGTAAAATATAACGCGAGAATACCACAAAAAAAAAAGGAATTTCAGTGATAATACCAGTGCAAGAACGTTAAAGGAGGAGTACAAAAATTGCTCAAGGCCAGAAAGAAAAATGACAGGAATATGTACAGAAGAGAAACAGAGCAATTAACATCGTAAGAAATGAAAACCTTACTTCATGGAAAATGTAAATGAATTAAGAGAGCGGCACAAAAGATTTACCGCTTTACATGGAATAGCACGATCGGATGGCTTATTAGCGTAAAATTAAATTGTGGAAACCTGTTCGTCCCATTGTCAAACTCGTTACTGTTACGCAAGAGAATTAATCAGCGTCAGTGACATGTAACTTGTAATTTACAAAAATTACGTTAATACTAGGTTGCGTAATAAGCTTGCCTTTGAATTTTTGTTTGAAAAAAGTGTCACAGATCGTCAGCGTTATATAATCTTATTTTAATTGTATGTTGTTTTCGTAATTAACGATTAAAAGAAATCTCTGCATAGATCCCACTAACTCCGACTGACCGACTATAACGCTACATAAAAATATAAATTTACGTAAACGTTCAATCTATTTACGATATTGCCAGCTGATAATTTACTTCGATCGTGCGAGGCGCAAAGGAAAGAAACGTTTTCGCGGATATGTGAAAAAGGGCGTGAAAAAATTCAAAGACCATCTGGAGTATCGGCGATTATTTATATCTTCCGGTGGGACCAGCGAAATAAGCCAATGAAGGAAAGCACATTGGTCTCGAATATCGCGCACGCGAAGATTAATCCCGTCGCATCGTTCATCACTGCCACCGGCACGCCTGCCCTTTTTGTAAAACGCAGGAACAAAAGGACACGCGCGATAGAGAGAAGCAAAATCGGCCATTAATCACACGTTCGTCCGGTGTTCTTTTGCTTCTTCATAGCGACACTCCGCTTTTGCAAGCGGGCTGCTCTCACTCGTACTTCCCATTCACCGATGCGACAGACTGGAAATCGCGCAATATTTGCTTTTTGTTGCGTCTGTTTCAGCTTGTACACCCTCCGACAGCTGCTGTTCGAGCGTGCCTGCTCTACACGATTCAAAAGCAGTCCGATCGTTCTCTCGCGACAAGAATTTGCATACCAGTTGACTCGTAACACGTTCGCGTTAATTCCTCGTCACCGCGCGTCGGAAATTGTAAGATACTTGCAGCGTAGATTTGAAGTAGAAAAGTAACTTTCAACTTCTAACGATACTTTAATTTATTTTCTATATATATATATATATATATATATTTAATAATTTTTCGACAACCTAGTCAGATCAAAACGAAAATATTCATCGTGGAAGTTGAAAGTTTCAACGCGTAATCACTGTAGCAGCTGCTGAAAACATGGCTTTCCGCGGACATATTTTAATCGTCGCGCAGATTCGACAGAGAACTATCACGATGGATTAAACTTGACAAATTCGTCCGTTTATCAGGTGATGCCTTCGTTTTTGTTTTTGCTCGCGAGCGCCAACAGCGTTTCTCGAGAGCGTCTGAACGCGGGGTTCCAGACGTGACATACACTCGTGACGCGGCTGTTTTTAACGCCAGGCGACATTCATTAAACTGAAAAGCAGTGTTTCCTTCTTCTTTCGTTTCCCTCGTTCAACGAGTATCTCTATCCGCGAGGCGAAAGAATCGCGAGAATAACCGCGTCAAGTGAAAACGACCAATGAAAAACGCCACGGGCAACTATGGCATTAACGTTCTATTTTGTTTTAATCGCCCATTGCCGGTTTATTGGGTGGCAGCATTCATCGTCCCCTCTGCTAGTCCGTCTGAAATAAACTGAAAACGCTGACGGTTGATCGCAACTTCGCCGAACGAGCCAACTTACGTGGTGCCCCTTAAAACCGAGCTGTTTCACTTGGAAAGTAGTTGACGCTTTTATTAGGACCGTGTTTAATCTCGACTCTGCGTTCCTTAATTAAAACCAACTTGCTGACTCGTTCGCTAAACACCAGGCGAAAGTAAAAACGTCATCTTTGTAGAGAATAACAAATACGACAAAAAGAAGAGCAGATCGAAAAGTAACGTTTCTTCCTAATCTTAACGCGACGCACACGCGTAAAAGGACAAGAATACGATTCGAATCTCCGACGGATCGTCGCTACTTTCTCGAACGAGAAGACCTAGTACTCCTTCGAACCGTGCCATTTTATCTGGTCGGTGCTTCACGCTTTTATCGGGACCGTAATTAATCTCCACTTTATGATCCTTAATTAAATCCACCTTGATGACACTTGCAAACACGAAGTGAAAGCGGCATGTTCTGCCTCGTAGACAATCGTAAGAATAAGAGAAAGGGAAATTGAAAAGCAACGTTTCTTCCTAACCCTCTACGAGGAGGCACGCGTGACGTTCTGGCGAAGTCCTTAGGCGTAAAAAGAACAAGAGTACAAACCGGGTGGCAAAGTGAAATCGAAGAAAAGCTTCGTAACAGCTTCCTTCGTACCTCGCATTTACCATGCCAACCCCTTTTTCGGTTCTACAGGCGAATACGTACGAGAGGAAGAAGTGTCTGCTGGATAGGGGAATGATTTAGCAACCCCTCGTTTTACGTCTGAAGATGTGGCCTGGTTGAAAACCAAGTTGAACGAACCCTCGCGAACCTTGGCCACCTACGTTGACGCGGATCTACATGAGAATATAAACGCAACCGTGGCCGCGTTGCGCCTCTTGACCGTAGGACGATGATAAATGGTGCCATTTTATGGGCTCACCCCGTCCCATGAATGTAGAGCCTCTGGTCGAACTGGACACTCCGTGCTTACTACGTGAAAATTATACCCCATAAAGTGTCGGTTGCCATCAACCTCGTCGCAGCTCGTGACGACCAGAACACGATCGAGAAATCTTCAGAAGTACTCTAGCGAGACGTTAGCGCTTCGCGCTTCTTTTTTACCGGTTGATTTATCAGCTCTATGCTTCTCCTTCGGCTAAGCTTGTAATGAATTTCCATTCGCAAATCTTTTTCGTGTTATTGTAATATATTCTCGTTCGTAAGTGTTATTTGTTATTTTATACATATGGCCTGTGTTGTCAATACCGTAACATAGATCGTTATCAGTCATGGGTTGTAAACATAAAACTAAAAATATATATAATATTGTAATATATTCTCGTTCGTAAGTGTTATTTGTTATTTTATACATATGGCCTGTATTGTCAATACCGTAATATAGATCGTTATCAGTCATGGGTTGTAAACATAAAACTAAAAATATATATAATATTGTAATATATTCTCGTTCGTAAGTGTTATTTGTTATTTTATACATATGGCCTGTATTGTCAATACCGTAATATAAATCAGTTATGGGTTATAAACATAAAATGTTTTCTCAGATTATATCGATTGCCTGTGTCAATTTCAATGTTCGTACTACGTTCTTCAGTATATTTATAATATAGATAACGCAAACTATTATAAGAAATGACTAAAAGCAAATAGATGTTATCTTTTTGTGAAATCAACGAACAAATAAACTCTAGTTAATTAAAAATTGGCCGACGATAATTATGAAATAAAGTGCACAATTTATGGATCGTTTCGACGAATCTTCTGGTCAAATTACACCAGCTATCCTAATGCACGAATATAGCAATCTTTTACCAGTATATTCGGTCTGAACAACAGGGTTTTTCGCTCGATACTTCAACGACAGTCTATATCAGGGTTTAACCAGTCCAGCTGTGAAAGATTACATTGATCCATCATCGATGAATCTACCGAACCGTTTATTTGTCTCCTCCACGTGGTTACCTTGACTATCATTTTTCCATCGCACGGAGATGATGGAGCACGGCTATATAACCGAGTCATCATCCTGTCCTCGGTATCTCGATCCCCGCTTGCTTAATGATTCCTTCACAAGCCGGTGACCAAAGAGCGCGAATCTTGAACATCCTTGTGCAAGCCAGTGATTAATCTGTCGATTACGAAGATGCGATTATCGGATAACCGATGAATCATCCTTACACCGGTGCACAAGCCTAGGAGCACAGTGGATTGGATATCGATGTCGGGTATAATTATCGATGAAGGCGCGGTATTCACCGACACGACACGTTACAGCAACAAAAATTAACGTTACTAATGATGATACATCGTTTGCAAATAGCGTGCATGACTCCTAAATTTTTGCCATCTTAACGCGATTAGTTTTCGAAGGACGAATAATTTTAGCTGTTGATAGACTACGGAGTTTCGTACATTTGTGGGAAATTTAAACGATTCTTTTATTATACATGTATGTTTGCAATAAATATCTCGTAATTTTTCTATACATTTTCTGATTCTACTTTCAAATTGACAAATATTGGGTTGGCAATTAAGTGATTGCGGAGTTTGTCATTAAGTGGTATTGAAAAAATCCGCAATCATTTAGTTGCCAACTGAATATAATCGTGACAGTCGTGTCTGCGACATTGCGATGCTAATGCAAAGTGTTTCACGTGACTTATAAAATAAACATTGAATAAATATAATAAATAATAAACATATAATAAACAGTTATATAATAAACATTGAAGTTTCTTACGATAACTGTTGAAATATTTTCACGAATCAATCGTCTTGTAACCTGCCTTGTCTTGCGTTAGCGTATCGAGAAGAAAGATTGGCTAACAACCTCGCGGTTAAGACTGACTGACAAAGTTCCCAGACACAAAGAGCCATGGACGTTTCGTACAAAGTAGATCTTTCTGTGTTTGCAGGGAACGAAACTATGGATTATTATGGAGTACTTGGGTGGCGGCTCGGCCCTGGACTTGATGAAGGCCGGTAACTTCGAGGAAATGCATATCGCGGTGATATTGCGTGAAGTGCTCAAAGGGCTGGACTATCTTCACAGCGAACGAAAGCTTCATCGCGATATTAAAGGTGAATTTACTTGTCAAATAGGAAAAACGATTAGACGAAAAAGGGAATTAATGGGTTTAGCTTGAAATAGCACAGTGGTATCATTCGTGACTCGAACAGGATAATAATTTCGATCGTCGCAGGATAATTGCAAATAAAAATTTTGTAACTTCAAGTCACGTACTTGAAAGCAACGAGTTCAATGAATTTTTGCAGAATTTCCGCGTGATTTTCACGCGTCTTTAAATCTGTGCTCTCTCTCCGAAGCAAAGTTGCATTTATTTTGAAACATCTTACAAACCGATCATAGAGACTCGTTTCTAAGAATTTTCCACGATTTTTCGAAAGCCTAGAAGAACGTAAAGTATATTTATTTCTGTTTCTGACTATAATTATTGTTTGCCTTTCAGCTGCAAACGTTTTGTTAAGCGAAATGGGCGACGTGAAGCTGGCCGACTTTGGTGTGGCTGGACAGTTGACCAATACGACCAGCAAACGTAACACTTTCGTCGGAACGCCATTCTGGATGGCACCGGAAGTCATCAAGCAGGCTTCGTACGATTCGAAGGTAATCATGCAAAACCACGGACAGCGATAATATTCCCGGGAATTCTGGATATTTTTCATCTTCGCTGTTTCTCCTACTCGAGGCCATTGCTCGCAGGCTACAGTCCGGTCACGTATCCCAGGAGATTTAATTTTATTACCTGCCTCTGACTTTCCATCCCTGGGTTCAACGTGGTTACCTTGTTTACCTGTTCGCAGCCTCTCTTGCAGACTTTAATCTACCTCCTTTCTATCCGCACACGCTCTGTGTACAAGAAAAACCATATACCGAAGACGCAGCAATTCTTATTACATTCGTTTCAATAGTAAAACAAAAAAAATCAATTTAGGAGCTTTTTAAAAGAGGTTTCAAGTTATTAAAAATTAATTACATGGAAATTACGTACATGGAAGTTTCTCTTTACTTCGTTGATACAAAAAGAACAAAGATTATCACGATCGTTACAATCATCGATTTAAATGTAACTTAAATATGATTTAGTTATTAAAACGCAACAATTTATTTAATTCGATATTCCTTTTATCTTGAGACTCCAGCAGAAAGCTCCTCGGTTATTAAATTAACGCGAGTGCAGGTTATCCTTTGAAAAAAAAACCAAAGAATCCCGTTATCCATGCCTGGACAGTCCTCGTGAACAATTTCTGGAAGATGCAAAGAACGGTCACGTTGTCATTATCGCGTGATTAACACCTGACGAGTCGTAAAACGAAGAACGCTTATTCCACAGGCTGACATTTGGTCGCTAGGCATCACGGCGATCGAATTGGCCAAAGGAGAACCTCCAAACAGCGAGCTGCATCCTATGAGGGTCCTATTTCTCATACCGAAGAACAATCCGCCCCAATTAACCGGAAATTATACGAAGCAATTCAAGGAATTCGTCGAGGCCTGTCTCAACAAGGACCCTGAAAACGTGAGTTGATTTTCACATGCAGCGACGATGTCTTCGTCCAGCAGAAGCTGCGCGCACGTATCGCTGTACTAATTTTCGCTGTACGAGCACGTACTTCGTCGAGAATGTTCGTTAGAACTAGAACTGTCGTACTGGAGCTTACGTCTCTAAGTAGATTCAGCCGTCAGTAATCAGACTTATTCTCGTCATACGCTCCGTTCCGTATAATTACTCTCTCTATTCTCGCGATTCAGAGGCCAACGGCGAAAGAACTACTGAAGTTCCAGTTCATCAGGAAGGCGAAGAAAAACTCGTACCTGATCGACCTCATAGACAGATACAAAAAGTGGAAGTCGCAGCGCAGCGAGGAATCCGAAACGGAGAGCGAAAATTCGGACTCGTAAGTTTCTATTTTCGTCCGACAGTTATGACTCATTGGCTACACCGTGGATGTTTATGCATTTGTTGGAAATTTAAACGTAGAGAAATCTGCGGAACTCGTACTGTTATATGCAAAATATTCACACACACACACACACACAAATCAAAGCATTCGTTGTAATATTTAATACTCAATAACTGAGATGTAGCTATTGCTATGAAACTGACTGGTTTGATATGCGGCCGAGAGAAATTGTATTTCAACCAAGAAAATTATATCTCTGCGTGTAACGTGTTGAAACAAACACGCGATGAAATTTAAAACGAAAATTCTCATAAGACGCGATTGTGAAACCAGTTATTCTGACTGATGGATGAAGGATGATTATCCAATTTCTTAGGTTGTGTTCATGAAAATTTGAATTCGCACGGACAACTGCAGTCCGTATGTTCGTTCCATATGTCCATCAACTTCTGAAGCATGAGTCGGAAATACGGTGATTTTATCGATTTCAGGGAGGAGTCGAAACAGGATAGCGACATGGACGAGCCATGGATAATGACCGTGAAAGGTCCTCACGGGGTGAAAGGATCCGTGGTGCCTATGCTACCGCTCGACGAACAGCCAACCTCGTTGACCATCACACACACGCCGAATCACAGATCCACGAATCACAATCAGCAAACGAAGCCACACGCGAACGGTGCCTCGAGATCTCCACCGAAAGATTCCACGTTGAATCATTACAGAAGCGAGTCGAGGGATTCTGTACGCGATGGCCAAGCGAAACACACGCCGGTGAGTGTCCTCTGTTTCATAAAACTGCGATCGAATCCGATAGCCGGGCGAAGAGTGTTTGACGAGTTAAAGAACGAAGAGGAAGAGCGTCTCGTAGACGAGCTACGGCGGACAGGCAATATCCCGTCGTGTGACGCGAGGCGAAGTCGTCTCGATCGATGACTGTTTTTTAATATCGTTGGAATTTAATCGTATGTTTCAGTCCCGACCGCACGAGGCTGCGCCACCGCCGCCCGTGGACACGCGAGAAAAACGAGAAGACCGAGATTACAGGGACTTCAATCGGGATTCCTCGTTGAGGGAATTGAAGGAGATACGTGACAGCAGAGACAGCAGGGATAGGGAACGTGATAGAGAAGGACGAGAAAGAGAAAGGGACAGGGATAGGGACAGAGACAGGGAAAGGGAATTCAGCGCGAAAGAGAAGAGGAACAGTAAACCGGATGTACCTGTCGTACCTATGGTGGACCATAGGCCCGGTGAAGACAAACAGAGACCAAGGAGCTCGCAGGAACTGAAGCATCCGCGGAGCGCCGCTCTTTCCGGTGTTGTTTTACCTCTCCTTTCCGAGGTAAATGTTTCTTCTAAGGGAGCATCGAATGTTTCCTGTTGTTCTTTGAGATATAGCTGAAACTAAAGAAAAGTGGAAGAAAAGCGTAGCCTCTTAAATATAACAGACTCGAGTTTTACTTACCTTTTCGCTTGTGAAAGATTGCACAGAGAAATATAGAAATCTATTCTCCGTTCTATCTACGTTGTTTGTATTGTAATATGCAGCTTCAACGGAAACATCAATATTCGGCAAGAGACAATAATGGCGAGGGCGGAAGCGGCATTGGCAAGAACGGTGGCGCGATAGAGGAACTACGCAGCGCGTTCGAGACAGCGGAACGCACTTCGCCAGGAATGACCGAGGCTCTTATCAGGGAACTCTTTAAGTCTTTACTTCCTGCCAATCATTCGGAAGGTTGTCTGTTTATGCTGATGGAAAAAGTAATTCTAAGGTAACATTAAACTTCAGCAATTTGCCCCTTCAACGAAAATCGCGTCATCTGTTTTCAAAGATCTTTATCGCATTAAAGGAATTGCATACGTTCATTTGTTTCTCTTATTATTTTCTATCATCGCAGTTTGTTAACTTGTTAACCGAATCGTTCCTCGATTAAGATCTTCTACGATCATGGAATGAAATATTAATAAAGTGAAACGAATTTCAATTAGAATTCGATTTCAGCCCTGATAAACTGAACATTACAGCAGCGTATATTTACAGTAAATGTTTTGTAGCTTCAAATTGGTTTCGAGATTTATTATTTTATACAAATATAAAACGTATAAATTCACGTATTTTCGCGAATCGCTGTATGCCCCAAAACAGTTAATTAAAAATAATTATTCGAGTTAATCCGTCTTCGCTGGTTAACAGATTAACAACTACGTCATTGAATTTAGCGTTTCATTTGCATCATCAAAACTATTCATCAGAGTATGAAGTTGTAATTTTTTTCAGGGATACGTAGGGACGCGAGAGGGCGAGGATTCGCAAGAGATTGTGGTCCGAAAACATCCTAACGTTGTAACGATTCGTTATTTCTCGTTTAAACAGAGTTATTATTCCGTATGATGCCGGTACATTGTTAACCGGATCCGAGCATGAGAGAAGAGTAGAAGAAGAACGTCGCTGCAACGACCGGCCGTTTTCTTTTCCTTCGGTCTACAGAGACTAGACTCGACAACAAAAGCTCGTTAAATTGTAGCTTTTATCCGATTATCCCGTCTCCATGTCCAATTCAGCGCGAAGTGCTCGTTAGATAGAGAGATGAAAATATTATAGCGACATTTTGCCGCACCAAAAATTCACTCATTTTATGAACGATAATATCGACTTTTTCCGTTCAAAGCAGAGCAGAAGATTTAGAGATTTATCTACTACAGTAAAAGAAAAAAAAGCTAGAGAAAAGTAAAAAAAAAAAAAAACGAGAAGAAGAAAATTATACCATCCAATTGCCCTCGCGCGAGGGTTACAGTTACCGTTAAATCTTAAAAAGATATTAGCTCCCCTCCCCCCGATCGTTAAAAGTTAGTATTTGGAAAAAATTAAGTAAAAAAAAAAGTGCAAGAAAAATGTAGGAGATAGTTGAGAAATATTTTTGCAAATCGTGCAACCACCCGTTCAGGATTCTTTGTACGTTCTTCGTGTTCGGTATCGACGCAACCATAAAAGAGCGGATGATATAGCGTAGGGTACAACCGTGGTCCGATGGATGGTGAAAGGGTATTCGTTGAAGGGATCTTGCCTCATTGTAGATACATCCGGAACGTGTACTACCATTACGATTTTACTATGACATCATAGCCGAATCGTTGCCAGTCGCAGTTTCTTTCGAGCGAGTATTCGCGTTCGAAGATAGCGCTTTTAGCGGACAAAAAATTCGAAGATATTTATTTTAAACCGTAGAATATTCAGTCCAGCAACGTAGAGAAAGATTTGAAAGTTAGCAAAGGGAAAGTGCTGCCCTTTAAATAAATGCCTTCCCGTTGCATCCTGCGTTGATGCACGTTCCGGATTATGGAAATAAAATCGAAGGAAGGGAGAGTGCCTCTATGTCGGAGGCTTTGTAAATATGTATGTAGCACGATAAGATAGTCTTATTGTTCTAACGATCGACGTCTCTGCCAGTCGGTTGCGCAGCTCCGTAACGCGATCCCGTTTTACCTTGATATTTCTAGTACTGTTTTTCCGTGATTGAACGAAACAATGAGAAAAAGTGAGAGAACAATGGTCACGAGAAAATTCATGCGTTTATGATCGAGGTCCGAAGCGTACACCCGGTTCGGGCGAAACGAAAATTAGTGTAAGCAATATTGATCGAGTAGTTCATGCGAGTGGTAGTGCGCGAACCACACGAAAATGTGCTTTCTTTTTCTTGAGCTAAAGTTCTTCCACTAGTTTCATCCGGGATAGGGAGTTCTTATAGTCGAGCCGTTCCACGATCGAGCCTGAGCTGTGATAACTTCCGCGGGACGTCGGCACTTAATCCACGTTGTTTGTAAACTAATGTATTTTATAAAGTATATTATATAGAAAATGAAAAAAAAGCGGATGGAAAGAAAACACGAAGAGATTCCTCGTAATGATCGAATAGACAGAGAGGTTTAACAAGAACGAGGGAGTCGTCGTTTTAACGCAGGATAGCCGCAAACGAAACGAAGTAGCTATTTGCGACGAACGATCGTTTCTGCGGAACGTTTGCGCGCTGTCCTGCACCGTGGAACATTAGAAACGGAGGAAAAAGCGCAAGAGGGTGATAGAGTGCGAGAGAGGGAGAGAGTGAGAGAGCAAGAGGACGCGCGTATGTGTGGAATACAAGAGTGTGTAAGAGGAGAGAGACGATTAACGACAAAACGAGAGGAAAGAAAATACGAAAAAATGTTTAGCGCTGCGCAAAGGTGAAAACTAGCGTAAAAATTATAACGAGAACATAGTATTAATTAACAGGGAGTCGTGCAGAAAAAGAGAGGCGACTGAGAGAGACCTAACTATCGTAAGCCCGCAATACAATATCACGTAGTTGCGTTTTATTCCAGTCAGCGAGGCGATCAATGGAAGAGCCGTAAACTCCTACAATTATTATTGTAATATTGTCAACGACGACGAACGAGATAATTGTTAGTACGTGAACACCTCTGATCTCCGCTCTACCACACCCCCTTTTATTCTCTTTTCCGACTCGTTCTCCTGCCGCCTATAATATTTCTTTGTTTTTCACTCTTTATTTCTGGCCCGAGATCGAAAGAGGAGACACACGAATACACATACAAATATACACACGCGCGCGTACACACACACACACACACACATACAGAAATACGTAGGAGGACTTTACTATTCTTCAGTTGAATTTACATTAGTTAATATCACTACACTCTATTGTTAATATTATGGATTTATTCGTCTTATTGTTGTTTCACCGTTGGGTTAGGTTCTTTTCGATGACTTTTACGACGGTCGCTACCCCAGTCATCCTCATAAAGCTGCCATAAACGCTTACCGGCTACGCTCTAATAAAGAACTCAGAAAACTCGAAAGACTTCAACGAATTATCTTCCCGTATCACTTCTTCCGATCCTTTTTGCAACGAACGACACCGATTCTACGAAGAGAAGAAAAACAACTTTATCTACAATTGTATTACTCGTGGAACGTTTAATCCTCTTTAATAGCTTTAATTCCTCACAAGCATGCCTGTGAAATTGTTTAGTCGCGAATCGAACGTATGGCTGTGTAAGCAGTATATGTTTTAAAGAACGTCAGAGATCTGAGGCGTAGCGGTCGATCTTAACATTCAAATCTGACTAATCGTTAAAAGAAATAAATTGTAATTCTCGAAGGGGTGGTTCACTGCGGATTATTCATCTTCTACGCGAGTATCAACCTTTCATTATCGTTCGACGGCTTTCATTTCCCTTGATAGCAATAAATTAGATAGCGCGAGTAGACGTACCGATAGCGTTTTTAAGAAAAACGGAACTGACGAATGAATTATTTAGAGACGCTACCAATTATTAAAGAGTTCTAGAATCGAAATATTCAAGTTTATCGCGAGTCTCTCTAAATTTGTGCACGCTCGTACTTCCGCTGAAAGCGGATTGAAAGTAAGCAGATTTCCACGTGAAACATCAAATCGAAACCTCGTCTCTATCGAGGTTTCTATCGTGTTTTACTTATATTTTTGCATAGCCATACGTAACGTTATAAGAAGCTTTTTACGTTCCCCTTTCTACTTTTCTATTTTATGTTTTATTTTTTCCCATTTCTCGAACGTTCAAGCTACTTTTCCCTTGTAAATCTTTCGACAGATCATCGTAAGAGAGCTGTGATTTTGAATTTTATTTTTGAAGATCGTTTTAACTTTCGCCAATAGGGAGTGAAAAATTCGAGAAACAGAGATCGCTACCGTTTCTCTTAGCAATTTCAAAGAAGCGCTGAAGAATAATCATAAATTGCACCACGTTCAATCCGAATTACGTGTCCTACTGTAACCAGCACTCTTCTTTGTATTATATTCTTAGCTATTATCCATAATATATTCACCGTTATAACATCGTGGTAACAATAATATTACCTATCGACGTAGAATATAAATATATAAATATATATATATATATATATTTTTTGTATTTTACTTCTACCTTGGCTGCATTGGACTGTATCATATTGATTATATGTGGCATGCTAAGGGCGTGTACAAATACGAAATAAAGATCAAATAAATTACGATCGACGACACTCTGTACGTTTCTTGAACCGCGTTTTATCATCGATAAGACAACAAATGTATACAATTTAGAAAAAATTTAATAACCATAGAATACATAATCCTTGTAAATATGGAAATTAGAATATTATTTTCGTTGCTGATTCAAACGACTTAAGATATAAATGCGTAATGTATGCTACTGAATTGTAAATTTCTTGGAGAGACAAGGCTGCACACGCCTCTCTTTTTTCTTTCAAAGACTATTTTGGAAAGAACGTTCTTTTACCGAAGCGACATTCTTGCGCGTGATAGTCAGATATAGGATCCGCCGTGGAAGATTTATATGGATATTCAATACCACGAGGTAATTGGAACATTGCAAAACAATACACGTGAAAACCCACGTGCAGTTGACGGTCGCGTTTCACCTACGCTGCAATTGGCAAAATCTTGCGTCACCTTCGACGATTCGATCATCCTGGGTCATCCTTCGCGCGTTAGCAATTTTATCTTGTCATCCACTCGCCGCTACTAATTAAAGCCTCGAGCCATTCATTTTTTCAAGCAGAAATATTCAGGAAAGATACTGACCGCAAGACATAAGAGGAATCACTCGAAGAGTTAAGAGGAAACCATAAAAGGAAACAGACAGTAAATCCAACAATTCCACGGGTATTAAAAACGAAGTCCAAGAAACTCGGTGACTTAGCAAGGACAAGAAAAAGAATAGTATAAACATCAACATATCTTTTTATTTAAATAAAAACGTTACTACAACACAGCGATATTCAAGACTTCAATTAGCAATGGACAGTTCATAGAAAAATAAATAAACTCCTCTTCTGCCATCAATAAACGAACAAAGTACAAGCAGAATAATATCAATAAGAAAATCGCACCGCCTCGTTTTAAACGCAGTGCACGAACCTTCTTTATCACGAGCCCGGTCGATAAAATGTCAGTCTATGGAAGTGGTCGGACGTGATTGCTGAAACGCGAGAGTACACTGGTGGAAAGCGCAGGTCTGCCAGTTCGCGGGCTAGGTGAGGGCGGCCAAGGGGGATTAAGAGGATAGGGATTTCCTCGACGCGTTTCGATGCGGTAGTCGACAGCATCCCGCGGGTGGTCGCGATCGAACAGTCAGGGGCGGG